ATTCAACAATATTCTAAAATTTTTTAAAAAGTCAAAAGATATTTTGTAACTTGTTTGGCAGCAAAACCTGACTCATATTGATGTCTTAAATGGATTTAGAGTCTGTTTATTCCTTTAATGTGAATTTTTGTATGTTCTGCTATAGAAATAGGAGTGCATTTGAGAAAGGGGCACTGACACAGCCCAGATCCCCCCGGGGTGATCTGTAGTGTGTGCAAGGTGGGCTGGGACCTGGTCTGACTCCCTGAGGCCCCTGGAGGATGTCTTAGAGTGGACAAGGTGGAAGGGGACCCAGGAGTCCAGAAGTGCTGGTTCAGTGCTGGCCCCTCCTCCACTCCAAGACCTCACAGCCGGACAGGGGCAGGGGCAGATGAGATCTTGGGGTTCCAGGCTCTCTCAGTAGGTTCCCCAGAAGCTGACCCTGACATGAGGATGATTTGTTCAGGAAGCATTGCCAGGGAAGACCAGGTGGGGAGAGGGGGAGGCAGGCCAGGTGAGGGCATGACTGCAGGTGAAGGAAATTTCTGCCTGGCCCTGTGGTTGTGCCTTGAGCTTGCCCACCCTGGGGGTCAGGCAGCCACTGCCGAGGGCCTGTGGTGCAGAGGCCTCTGGAAGTCCCTGTGGTCCTGCCTGACTTCATCCAGGAGGTGGGCCTCATCCGGTGGTGCTCTGGGCGGCTCACACTCACTGTTGAGCGCCGACCGCTGAAGCTGCGGTTCTGTGAGCTGGTCGTTATCTCATTGGTAGTTTGCAGTTGGCCGTGGTAGGCGATGGGGGCAGATGCTACAAGTCAGGGCCCAGCCGGCTCTTAAGCATTTGCCAGCACACTCCTGGCTGCCTTTCTGACCTTCCCCTCCTTCAGGATTCCTCTCCCCCTTTACCAGACTGTGCTGATTCCTGGCCTTGAAAACCCAATGATATCTGTCATCTAGAATCTCAGGTACCCTCCTTGGTGAATGGGCTCCCTCAAGGCCATGCTTCTCAAAGTGGGGCAGGTGGCTGAGTGCCTGGGGCTATAACATCCACCTCTTCTAATCTTTACATTAAAAAAAAATACACAGTTGCAAAGTTGTAATTTGGTGAAAGAAGGAATGAATAGACTACAAAATTGGTGTGAATTTTCTAAACAAACAGCTCAAGGACATTTTATACTGGCCAAGGGCCACTTTTGCTCTGTCCCTGTCTGCAGGTTCACTGTGAGGAGTGAGTGTTCAGTGTAACAGGGAACCTCTGGCTTTGTGCCTTTCCTCACACTGAGACTCTGGGGGGAGGGGCTGTCACAGAGGGGAGTCACCTCTCTCTCCTGGACCCCAGGGCCCCTTTAGCATTTCACTGATATGAGGCACTAGAGCTGGAACAGAGAAAGCATGGCCTTTGGAGCCAGACTGCTGGTGCAGACTGTGTGACCTCAGGGAAATTGCTTCCCCTCTCTGGGCCTCAGCTTCCCTCAGGGAAATCTGGATGATTGGAAATCCCCCCCAGGGTTTCCAGGAGGCTAGGTGAGACAGTGCAGGTGGCAGCTGTGAAGCGCCATGCCTGCACCTAGCATCAGGGACATAGCTGTAGCAACGTTCATTGATTTTGGTGCTGAGGAAAATGCAGCTCACTGTGCAAAAACAAGGAAGTTCACGTGGCCTTTTCTTAAATGCACAGCCCGCAGTTTGATCTTGGCCTGGATATGAGAGTTAGGCCCCGGGTAGCATCTAAGATTATGAAACCATTCAGATGGGGGTCGAGCTCCTGCAGATGTGATGTTTGACTTTGGGCAAGGTGTTTGGTCTCTCTGGGCCTCTGGGTAGAATAGGCCACCCCCAGAGAGGGTCCTCAGCCCTTCCTAGATGCTGTGGGGCCACAGCTGGTCCTCATTTCACACCCTGCTTCAAGGGCCAGTCTGCACCCTCAGACCCTTATTTTGTGGATGTGACTGGGCATTTGTTTGTTTATCCCCTGACAGCAAACTCTGTTCGATCAGGAATTGATGTCCGTGGTGTTAGCACATGATAAAGCTTCAAGAAGCTGGTTAAACAGTATGAGGTGGGTCATAAATTTGGCTTTTCATCCCTGTCAGAGCTTCCTTATTACAGAAAGTGAGAAAGATGGAGCAGCATGCTGTATTCTGCAGGGTGTTTAATTTAGAGTGACAGTCAGGACTCCTGGACACCTCACACTGTTTATAACTGCAGACTCAGCTGTAATTCTGAGCAACAAGGCTGGAATTTACCATCATATTTAACTGCTTGCTTTTAAGTTTCCTTTTAAAATGTGTTGTTGATTTCTTTAACGGTTTTTCTTCTCTGCCATCTTCGATTAAACCACATCTTAATGAGGCTTTCGATCTTCATTCTTGTCTTCCGATCAGGTACTAAGGCCTGAAATTTACTGTTAATTGATTATTGATGATCTGATTTGAGCCACACATGAATTCTTTTCAGGGATGTGAAAAACTAGCTTAGAAATGCAAATCAAAATGTAGTGCTTAAGTTAGAGAAAAGGCAGTGTCACAGTCAGAAATGAAGGCTGCTTCTCAGTTGTTTAGAACGCAGGTGGCAACAGAAGCCTGTGGGACAAATCTGGCCCACTGACTGTTTTTGTAAATAAAGTTTTATTGGCACACAGCCACACCTGTTCATTTACATATTGTCCGTGGCTGTTTTTCACTACAAGGGCAGACCTGAGGAGCTGTGACAGAGGCTGTAGGCCTGTAAAGCTGATGTATCAGCTCTCTGGAATTTATAGAAAGACTGCCAACTGTGATGGTCAATTTTATCTGTCAGCTTGGCTGGGCTGTCGTGCCTAGATATTTGGTGAAACATTCTGGATGTTTCTGTGAGAGTATCAGTAGACTTTGGGTAAAGCGGATTATCCTTTATAATGTGGGTGGGCCTCATCTAATCAGTTGATGGTGTGAATATAACAAACACTAACCTCCTCTTGGCAGCAGAGATTTCTGCAGCAGATGGCCTTTGGACTCAAACTGCAATATCAACACTTTCTGAGTCTCTAGCCTGCTGGCCAACCCTGCAGATTTTGGACTTTTCAGTCCCCATAATTGTGTAAACCAATTCCATAAAATAAATCTCTCTCTATGTATATATAAACATCCCATTAGTTGTTCCTTTGGAGAAACAAAAACAGAAACATTGGTCCTATTTTTCTGACTAACACACCTGATACTCGGGGTCAGATGATCTGCAGTAAATGATTGTGCAGGGCCTAGAAGTCAGGCAGACCTGGGTTCAAATCTCATCTCTGCTGCTTCCTGGCTGGAACTTTGAGGTGATTCTGCCACTTCTCAAGGTTTGTTTCTGTATCTGTAAACTGCAGCCAAGTACTGCTCACTTTGGAGGGTCATAGTTTGTGACTGACACACTTAACAAGGGGTCAGCACCTGCTGGGTGCCTGGTCCTGGTCACCGTCAATGTTATTACTGTGAATGAACTGTCTGGTTTATTCATCAGTCTCTTGTGTGTTTGGTTCAGATGAGTCAGCCCTTCAGGCCTGCTAAGGTCCAGCTGCCCTTACAAGATGTGGTTACTGAACCAGAAAAACAGTGGCCCTGACCCTTGATGGTGGAGTCACAGGTACCTCTGTGATATTGATCTCTCCCTTGTCCCCCAACCCCTTCAACAGAACCAAAGAAGCTCCTGGACTGTGCTGAGTGGGAGCCCCTGGCTTGGTTGCAGATGGCGGCATGAAGGATGCGGTTGCTGGGTTTACTGGAAGGAATTGTCCTGCTAGGATTTCCCAGGCTTCACTCAAGCACCGAGGTGCTGAACTTTGAGCCTTTGTTCTCTAACTCAGTTCTTTTATTCATTCAACAAATGTTTTATTGAGTACTTGCTCTGTTCCAGACACTGTTCTGGGCACCAAGCATACAGCAGGGGCCCACCAGAATTGTCCTGGACCTCCAGAAGTACCAGGGCTTAGAGCATGAGCCTCATTCCCCAGGCTATTTCCAGGTCAGATTTTCTCATCTTGGGCCACAGCTCTGCTCTGTCCCTGTGGAGGTGAATGCACAGGTCAGGGTGGGGCAGACCTACTGGTGTGAGCCCCACCCCAGGAATCATCTCTCAGTGCAGGACCACCAATCCCTGCAGATACCCCCTCTGTGTGCCATGTTCCAGCTCAGTTTTGGGCCCACGAAAAGATTCTTAATTAGCTTTTGAAACTGGTTTCTCTTCATCTGGACTCTCAGTGGCAGTGCAGCCTGCAAAGCTCAGTGAGCAGGACTCACCCAGTGTTTCCCCCCGGTGGGTGCTGGTGGGCCAGCGGAGCCCTGCCCCTGCTCGTGGTTCGGGGCTGGGTGGCCAAAACCGGGCCCAACCCAGCTGTGTGGCCTCATTAGCAAAGAGCAGGTCCCTGGACCAAAGAGGGGATTACGAGTGACCTGCTGTGAGGTGGGCAAAATGGAGGCCTGCAGTCAGAGCTGGGCGTGAGTCCCACTCTGCCAGGTGTCGCCGGGTGCCCTCGGGCAGGGGTGTGGCTGGTGCCTTGTAGAAACCGGAGGCCGCGCGAGCAGTTCTGAACCACAGCTGGGCCCTGGGAGAGCCTTGCTGCCTGCGCGGCGGGCGGGCGAGCAGCCTCACCCCCACCTTGCCTGCCGGCGGTGAGTCCTCCTGGAAGAAGGCACTGGCAGGGGGCTTGGCAGAAACAAGCCATTTGTATGGCCGTGTGCCAGCCTGCATGTCGTCCCACAGCCTGTCCTTGGGAAGTCTTGCCCGCTTCTGTGGAGTAGAACATCTGTGTGCGTGCAGGCGTGTGTGTGTGTGTGTGTGTGTGTGTGTGAGAGAGAGAAAAGTGTCCACACCCATGATGAGACAGTTCCCCGGAGGAGATAGCATTAATGGGGGGAGGGATTAGAGGTCCTAAACTATACTGGGTTGAATATTGTCTTCCAAGATTCAAGTCCACCCAGAACCTTAGGCTATGACTTTATTTGGAAATAGCATCTTTGAAGATGCAACTACTTAAGTTAAGATCAGGTCATATTTTTTAAAAAGATCATGTCATATTTGATTAAAGGGGACCCTAAATCCAATGACTGCTGTCCTTATGTGAAGAGGACGGACACACAGAGACATAAAGGGAGACTGTCACATGAAGACAGAGCCAGAGTTGGGAGTGACATGTCTATGGACCAAGGACCACCAAGGGCGGCTGGCAAGCACCAAAAGCTAGGAGAGGTGAGGACTGTCTCTCTCTCCCCTTAGAGCCTCCAGAGAAATCCAACCCTGCAGACGCGTTGACTTTGTACGTCCGGCCTCCAGACTGAGACGGCACATTTTGTGAAGGAAAAGCCCAGATGGGCTAACAAGCTTAGTCACAAATCTAAGTGTAACAAGTGTCAGATTACTGATCTGAATTCTGCTGGTCTAACTCATAAATCTGAAGTTTAATGTCAGTCTATTGGGCTAACGAGCTCAGTCACAAATCTAAGTGTGATAAGTGTCAGTTTACTGATATAAGTTCTGCCAGGCTAACTTGTAAATCTAAAGTTTAGTGTCAGTTTACTGGGCTGACAAGCTAACTCGTAAATCCAAGTTCAACAAGTGTCAGTAACGTGATCTGTTCTGAATTGACAAGCTTCAGCGTACTGATTCTTGCTTTTTGTTGTTTGAGCCTTATTGGCTAATAGCCCATACTTGTAATTAACCGTATAAAACCTCATGTGCACGTCTTGGAGGTGCTCAGAGCTTTGGAGCAGAAGCCCCTCTGAGCCCGCCAGCGTAATAAATCTGAGTACTCCCACCCTCCGAGTGGTGCTTGTTTCTTGGTTGGCCTGTCATTTCCGTAACATTTCCTGTTGTTTCCAGCCTGCCCATTGGTGTGGAAAAGGAACCAAGGACCCAGACCCAGACCCTGACTTTCTGACCCCTGTTTTCTCCATCTGCAAAGTGACGTGTTGAGCTAGAATGGGAGTGACACACATTTTCTGTGAGTGGCCAGATGGTAAATACCTTAGACTTTGCAGGCCTAAAATTAAGTTCTTTTTTAGGACAGAAATAAATTTTAATTCATTGGAAAGTACAGCAGTGAACAAGGTCCTCTGAAGAGTGTTTTCTCAGTCATATGAGTCAGATGACACAGAGCCAGGGTGGAATCACTTCTCGGAACAGAAGATGCAAACACAGGAATTCACAGCATTCAGTGGGACCTAAATGGTGGTGCAAATAAAGACCCCAATACTCCCATCTGGTTCTGCTGATGGATCAGTTTACATACCCTTTGCTTACTCTTATAAGTGTTCCTTATTTTCCTTTGTTTTGTTGTCCTTGTTTGTCATTTGTTTTACAGTTCTTTCCAAGTGCACAAAGCTATTCTGGATCCTGGGTTGGATTTGGCTCACGGGCCACAGTTTGCCAGCCAAGACTCGAGGCATTAATTCTGCCCATAGGGAGCCCCAGACACACGCACCATACATCATCAGGGCACATGGTCATTGTTCTGCTGCTGGGCCACATGCTGATGGGGGAGGAGCCAGCCTGAAGCCCCCAGGTGTCAGTTTTCAGACCTGTCAGTGGGCATGATGACTGGTTTTCCCGCATGAAGGCCACAGGGGACAGCACTAGGCAGGCCACCACCCTGTGTCCATGCCAGGGCCTGTCTCTGTTGTTCAGCCTTACCCCATGGGGCTGGGCACAGGGCCTGGCACATCACAGGAGCTCAGGGGAGAGTTGTCTGAAGAATGAAGGACTCTTCTGGAAGCCCTCTCTGGGCTGGGGGCTTGTCTGAGTTCCACCTTCTGTGGCAGTGACTTCAGTGGTGTCATTGTCCCTTTGAGAGGGTGGGCGCTTCAGTTGAGCCATCTTTGTACAGTGTCTGATGAGACAGCGGAGGAGTCAGCCCAAGTAATGTACGTCTGCCAGGCGATGTCAGTGCCCCGACCCCGACCCTAGCACAGCCAGAAGTGCCGGGGCCCAGGTTCAGTCCTGCAGACACAGGATCTCCAGAAGGAAGTGGTCTCTAAAAGCAGCAATGAGCTGGTGGTGGGAGCACGGAGTTTGGGAGAAGACAGACCCGAATTTGAATGCTGGCTTTGCTGCTTGGCAGCTGTGTGACCCTGAGTGAATGTCTTAACCTTTCTGGGCTTCAGCCTCCTCTCCAAGAGGGCAGAGCAAGCCCTCCCTGTCAGGTCTGCCCTGAGGACGGGGCAAGGTGTGCCCAGCAGAAAGCAGCCTGGCGCACAGAGGTCCCCGCTGTTAGCAACAGCTCTGTTGTTAGGTGACTCTGAATGGTAAAGCCCACATTTTTGTCACATCTGCACTCCCTCCAGCATGGGTGTGTGTCCCCTGCCCCCTTGGAACTCTCCCATCCAAGCTCTGTCCAAGGGTTGCCATGGCCACACAATCGTACAGATGAAGAAACAGGCTCAGCAAGGAAGGGGCCTTACCTAAGGCCACAAGGCAAGACAAGTGGCTGAACGGGGACCCTAGGCCGGTCCTCCTCCAGCCCGCTCATCCCTGACTCAAATGACTGCCTGCCTGATCAAGGCACTCTCCCAGCCATGGACCGTCAGGCACACGGGTGGGAGCTGAGGGAAGCCATCATCTCATTGGACTGATCGGCACAAATCTGCTGGGAATGCTGCCATTTGAGGTGTGGTGACCACCCCAGACACCCCCGTGGTGGCTTCTCTAGACACCCACCCTCCCATACCCCCTTAATCAAAGCCAATCCTGAGAAGACCTGCTTGCTTGCCCTGACTAGGCGACAGCTTCGATTTATTGCTGCAAGGCCGAGGCCATGGACTGGGGTCCCTGGTGTCCCCTCCCCAAGAGAATCTGCAGGAAAATGTGTTTACACAGAAGCTGGAGCAGCATCCAGAGGGAGCCTGGCAGGCGGGGCCCTGGAAACATACCCAGTTGAGTTGCCCTGGGGTTTCTAGGAGCCTGGCATCTCATCAGTATGTTGCATGGAGGGGGCTGAGTGCTACATGGGAGCCCCAAGCCCAGGCCACAGAGAGGGAGGGGGGCCAGGAGCCCCAGGAAGAGTGGTGCTGCTTTTTTTTTTTTTGGTATAATTTTTTTCTTTAATTTTTCTTGAAATATAGTTGATTCACAGTGTTTCAGGGGTGCAGCAAAGTGATTCAGTTATACATGTATACATTCTTTTCCAGATTCTTTTCCATCATGGGCTATTACAAGCTATTGAATATAGTTCCCTGTGCTCTGCAGCTGGTCCTTGTGGTTTATCTAGGGTGGTGCTTCTTATCGGAAGATCCCCCAGGAGGCCTGCAGCCTGGGTCTGCAGGCAGTGGAGTCTGGGGGGAGGGCCACGCCCTCACTGAATGTAACCCAAGGAGGAACCAGGTGAAGATCTAGTCCCCGGGGCTAAGAGTCACTATACTCTCTTTGTTTTCTTATTCTAGGAGAAGCACTGCCACCACCACCCTACCTCCCATCCCTTTTCACTTACCCACCCCCCAGCCTTTATGACATCCTTACAGGGTGCCTAGAGCTCGGGGTCTGACCCCATTGAGACACTAGGCAAAGGAGGCAGCAGGGAGAAGCAGAGCAGCACACTTAGCCCCTCATCGTGGACACGGAGCATCTGGCCTAGGTGTGCTGGCCAAGTGGGCTTCCTAATGCTGAGCCCCAGAATTTGTCTAGCATACACACCCATCTGTGGACTCTGGCAGACAGGCAGGCACAGAGCAGAGCGGGCCCTCCTGGACGCTGGGCTCCCAGGAGGAAGGGGGAGGAGGGGTGGGTCTCCTTACGCCCAGTCCTCCTTCCATATGTACGGACCAGAGTGGGTCACCCTCCCTTCCAAGGAGGGGAGAGACAAGGCAAGTACAGTGGAGGACACAGCAGGAATCAGAGAAGCGCCTCCCCTGCTCCCTCAACCCTGTCAAATGGTCCCCACCATCCTGCGGGGTGGTACCAGTGTGGCTCTGTGTTTGGAGCCAAAACCTTGAGAAACAGATCTGGATGCAGAGTGGCATCTGTGCAGCCAGAGGGCATGTGGGCAGCCCAGGCCTGGCCAGTAGGTCAGCGTGACTGGAGCAGAGGTGAGGGAGGGGAGCAGGGATGGCGAGAGAGATGCTGGACCCGGTGCGGGGCTCACACGTCATCAAGGAGGTGGTGGCTGGTCAGCTGTTTGAGAAAGCTCAGGCTGGATGGAGGAGGGGGTGGGTGAGACCAGAGGCAGTGGGGTACTTGCTAGGCTGGCAGAGGCTGGGGGTCCCAGAGGAGCCTGATGAGGGACATCGAGATGATAGAACAGACAGGCATGCTGCTGGATCAGCTGTGGCATTTTCATTGGGTAGTGAAGTCAGATCTGGGTTTGAATCCTAGCTCCCATTCTTGGGAGCTGGGTGACTTTGTCAAGTTGTATGACCTCTCTGATCCTCAGTTTTCTCCTCTGTAGAGTGGGGGGCCCCAAAAGCGGTTGGGGGAGGGGAGTCAAGTCATGCTTTGGGGAACTTTCTGGAATTTTTTTTTCAAGTATATATTTTTTGATCCGAGGATGCTCAACCCACAGGGCCAGCTGTGTTTGTGGTTTCTGTGGCCTTGGCTGCCAGTCCTGCAGCCCCCAGGGAGCCTTATGCTTCCTGAGCTCATCACTCACTGCTGCCCAGGGTCCCCTAGGGAGAGAAATGTGTTTGGCTAAGTTCTCTGGGCAGCCTGGTGATTGGCTGCCTCTAATGGGAGGGTGTGTCCACCTCTTGATCCAATCAGCTGAGGGCAGCGTAGGGCATGGTCACACGGTGGTGCTGCTGGAGCCAGCTGGGGGACAGGGGTTAGGAGCAGTGAAGGATCACCGCTGCTGCCAGTTGATTAACATTTGACCTTTTTTGGGTCCTTTGCCTTTTCTGCCATTTAAGTTTTTTTTTTAACCAACCTAATGGCACACATAATTTTTAAATTCCCCAAATTACTAAATTTTCAGTATAGTCTAAATAAGCACTGAGCAACTAAAATGAAATGGGAGCAACATGTGTAATTTTTTATTTTCTAGTAGCCACATTACATAAGTAAAAAGATACAGGTGCAATTCATTTCAATAATTTACTCACGTATCCAAAATATGACACGTGCAATCAATAAGGACATTATAAGTAGCTATTCCACATTCTGTTTTCCACATTTCTGTCTGAAATCTGGTATGTATTTGCATTTACACCACATCTCAGTTCAGAC